GGAAAAGGTCCACTTTGGATAAATTTGATCTAGGTAAACTAAGGTTCCATGAAAAAAAGTCCACATTTTCAGAAAAAGACCCCCATTTTGCAATTGCTGGCTACGGGCCTGAATTAGATAGGCCTACATGTATTTCACTGATCACTGGTTAACTCGGGGGAACCCACGCAAGGCAAGCATATTCAACAAGAGAAGAAATAAGCTTTGATATACCTGTACTTGGTGTGAAGAGGACACGTTCAACTTGGCGTAGTTAATACAACCGTGAGCATGTTTTTTTTTCGTATAGATGTATTCAACATGCAGTATTTAGGCCAAGATTTTTTTGTTATATAACAAAAAAAAAATGTTTGAATCTCCACTGCCACAATTAACTCAAATATCAACTGATTAAACTTTTTCTTTTTGGCTCAGATTGGATAAATTGCCTGTCATTGTTTTTGTTTTGTGACATTGAGTCTCATGCTTGGGGCAATCTCCCCTTTGCTCTCACCAAGGTGAGCCAGTGCCAACCCCATATCAGGTCAGGCATTTCATTACCTCTCGTCACGCCAGTTTTTGGGTAGGAGACACAATTTACTACTGCAATAATGCCTTTGGGATCTACTTACCGTTTAACGGGGTCACATGGATTTTTTCTAGTTATTCAAATTTCAATTACTTCGACTATTTTAAGAACATTCGTGTACTGCGAGAGCATGGACTTGTTGGAGGGGGGGGGGGCGCTGCAGGAACTCTGTACTCGCAGTTGCTCTACATGTCATTTAACCGTCCTATCAGCAATAAAAGTTGATTTTCTCTCATTCTAAAAAACGATTGCGAATGTAGAGATTGATTTAAACCATTTGATTGTCGGTGCGAATTTCTTTTCCTGTTCAATTATGTGGTATAAAAATGCAGCAAGCATATCCTCGTTATGAAATAGCCCTTGAACAGCTGTCACAAGAGAGGCTATTACTCGGGCTAAAATCCTTGTGCATGTAGAACTAAGTGTCACTACTCAGGATAAAAACCTTTGTAGTACCGGTAGCAAGGTCAGTGCAAGGTCACCACTTAAGATAAAAACCTGGGCACTAGGTTAACAGTACATGTACGTTATTGCTTGGGGTATCCAGTCCATATCAGTTTTGGGCACAACTGCCACAATTGAACAATGTTTCACCCAACACTCCAACATATATATTCCCAATATTAAGTACTCCCCATTACTGAAATAAGGGCCCATTCAGAACAAGTTGATCCGCCGACTAACAGATCCACGGATCAAATATGGCCGGCCTACTTGAAAGCTTGCGCTCCAAGACAAACTTTGGTGAATGATGCGACCTGTCAATCCCAACACCCCACTAATGGTTATTCGACTTCCTCTAGATGCCATTCTCCCTTGTATGTTACTGGAGAGCGACACAGGCGAGGACTGCCGCACCATCCAAGCCGGGCAGACCAACTTCTCACTGCCTACCATAGATTATACTGGCGAGGGCGGCTTTGTGATCGGAACTAAGAGCATCGTGGAAGTGTTCGCCAAACCGCTGTTTGGAATTCTTATTGACAGGTAAAATTTTGCTGTCAATTGTAACGGTGCCAAGATACTTAAGAGGACCGTTTGTATATTTTTTTCTGCTTTTATCCAGATTATTATTTCTTCTTTTTTATGTATATAGCCTTATTGATATGTTTATGAATCATTCTAGTATTTGTGAGAAATGAAATTACCACTCATGCTCAAAGATTTATTTAAGACGTTAATTATTAGTAATTGTAAGCACTAGAGTAACTGTAGTTAGGAAACCTCTATTCTAGAGTTGGACACAGATGGCCGCTTCTTTTGGGATCGATTATAAATATAGCAGCGACATTGGGTATGTATGTTCTCTATTGTAAAATACATTTTTCTCTGACTGCTCTGACTATTTCAAATGGCTATATTTTTACCTTCTAATATTAACAGAAAGAAATGTGTTAAGAGAATGCGCACAGGGTATTTATAAATAGTTATTCTAACTAACGACAGCTTCGTAACTAACGACAGCTTCGTGAAACGGGCCCCTGCTTTGTCATAGTCTGGTAATTCGTGCGTGATTCTAACACCCCATTTCCATAGATTAGATCGACCTACTTTAGATCGACCTAACTCCCTGGGGGTTCACGCTAAATAGCTGTCAGCCGGGCGGACACGAAAGTTAATTACCCTCTTACAGCTTGTAGTAGGCGGGACGTACATTTAAGTCGGATTATCTGAAAGTAATCTAGTGAGACTCCCCGCGGGGATAGATCGATCTAAAATCTATGGGAATAGAGCCTAAGTGTACAGTTCGTAGGAACATGGACAATACTGAGTTTAAACCATTCATACACGTGCCATTGGTTGCATTTTAGATTCATGTTTTCTTAGTCTAGCAATAACAAAAATGCTACATTAATTTACTCGACACATGTGATCGTATAAATCATGTACTCCATTTTTTATTTTCTCTCTTAAAAGCTTTTGCCTTTCTGAACGGCTTCCCGATGCTGATGTTGTCGCGAGCTATGCAGGGAGTGGGCTGCAGTCTAACCACAGTAGCAGGTGAGTTTTTGTCTTAAAGTTTTGTATCTGTCAAAGATTACTAGACTATATGTATTCATAGGTGGAGCACGCAGAGAGTGGAATTGAGGGAAAAGACGTGCCATCTACGTTTTCAACACTGGATTAATTATATTGATGGCACTTACTGCTGAATTGAACTTATGTATACAGGGCGCTGCATGAGAAAGAGAGAGAGGGAGAGAGAGAGAGAGAAGAAAGAGAGAGATATTATATAGAGAGTAGATCGGTGTTGAAACAAAAACGAGTTATGTCAACGCCATATTGTATTAGGTTTGACGACGTTCATAATCTTCACCGTGAACAACCAACACATAATGTCTGGCGCACCTAACGCACTGTTATTTCTCAACAGCCATTGCGATGCTTGCAGAAGCATACACTGACGTTGACGAAAGATCAAGGGCCATGGCCAAGGCTTTTGGAGGGTATGCATTCGGTGTTATATGTAAGTAACACCTTTCATGTCAACTATCTTTCTCTCTCTTTATCTCTCTCTTGATCTCTCTCCCTGTCTGTCTCTCTACATGTCAGCCGTCTGTTTAACTATGACTATGATAATTTCTTTTTTTCGTCTGCCCATTTTTTCTTCAAGTGTTTTTCTATAATTTCAAATGATTTTAATCGAACTCTGTCAAATTCATTTTATGCAAATTCCCGACGTACTTTTTCTCCTTAATCAATCCAAGTTTACAAGGTAATAATTGCATCTTTTTGTGCGTCAAAAGTACATATTATTAAAAAAGATTTTATCTACTGAAAATGCATTATCAACCATGCACATGCAACCTAGATGACACAAGATGGCGTCATATTTCAGTTGGATTTCCACTGGGGACGTTCACCTATCAGTTTCTGGGCAAAGAGTTTCCCTTCCTGATACTCGCTGGCATTAACGTCTTAGACGCAGGTGAGAAGACGTGTTCACCACAGAAACAAATTCAACTGGAAATGTGACTGCATGACGTCACTAGATTGTTTTGCATGAAAAGTACAGTTGTAAAGCTCTGAGGCCAGCATGGGCTGTCTGTATAATATAGTCGTTTGGTGACGTCATTTATATTATTTCCAGTCTAATTTGTTACTGTTTTTTTCACGGCTTCCTTGCTGTTAGATGTTTAATTCCGTTACTTCTTGCTCGAATCGTGTCTCTGAAAAATCTGGTGTAATCCATGCAGGCATCGAGGAATTTGGTTTCGTTTAAACCAGGAGCCTTCATTGAGCAGCTGCAGCAAATAACAGTTTTGCGTGCATTAGGACGCAAACAGACTTAAGATGGTCTTTGTAATATAACTTTTTATTTGAGAATATAAATCAAAACATACAATTTAATCCATTTCATATCATTTATACTTATCGTAGCAGTATGGTTGTGCTTTTAGATGTCGATGAACGTTTGGGTTTAGTTTTTTTAAAAAATTTGAATTTGAATTGAATTGAATATAAGACACATTAACTGCCATAATTAAATGAATATATTCCCATGTGCGCGTTTGCATGCGCACGGGGTAGAAACAGCTTTAACATTTGTCAGTTCTCTTCCAGTTTTTAGACTGATCATCGTGGTTCCGGAAAAACTGGTAGGCATACAATGCTAAATGCAGCATGATGCATATTTTAATAAATATGTTTACACAAGACTGTACATGACCAAGTAAACAGTAAATGTAACGAGCGCTGTTCAAAATACAGATAAAAAACGATTAAATACCCAAACATTAAAAACATGGGCTCAGCTTATGTTTTTATTACGACGTAAGGCATGAATAAGAGGTTGTGCAGGTCAATGAAATATTCTTTATAAAATGAATGAAATGATGGATCTAAAAGAGTTGCAGATTCTAATTTTAATTATAATCGTAAAGGATTAAGCTTTAAAGATATTCAAAACAATAAAGCTGTATCAGTTATTATGATCAGATTAAGATGAAAGCCTTTAAAAATGTCTAAATAATTCATTTGCAGTTCTTATATCAGGTTTACAGCATGATGTAGAATTCATATTTTTCTTCTAATTGTTGAATACAACTGGTGGATATAAATTGTTTTGGGCTTCAATCCCATGATTTTTTTTATCTGTACGCAGGTTGAACCTTCATCTTATGGGGCGTGGAGTGACTTTAAAGAGTTACTGGTTGACCCGTACATTGAGCTGGGACTCGGTAAGGGCATCATATTGGGTTTCTGGAATTAAGAAAACCATTAAAGAGTAAAATAGATATAGATAAAATAAATGTCAAGAGATTATATTTTTTTCGAAAGTATTTGGTTGTGCAAATCATACACGATAGTGTGTTTTAACAAAGGCTGTACGTACATGTATTTATACAGGGCTACAAAGATTTCACACATGGCTCATCCATGACTTTTGTACTCTAGGGAAGACGCTTTTAAAATACATTACTCAATTTCAGTAACCCAGCAATGCTAGAGTAAATATCATTTTTGCAAAAAAGTAATGCTTATTCTATTAAACATGTATACACCATATGGGAATACGCAATGACAACGTTGCTAACAACAAGCGTTGCTGTTGTGGCAATGTTGTAGTCACGTTACTCCCACGAGGATATTTTTTCAAATGTTCATATGTGATGCACGTGCAGGTTACACCCTGATGTACACCCTTAGCTTAGGAGCCAGCCTCGCCATTGCCCCGCCCTGGATAATGGAGGAACAGTTCGGGATGGTTTGGGAAATAGGTGAGTCTTTTTTCTTTTTTGTAATTTTTATTTACTTAAAAATAGTTTTGCATCTGCGTACAGCGGGATTTGGTCCTAACAATGCACCACATTTCACGACGTTTGCAGGAACACGCGGTATCATACAATACCTCTTCATCAAACAAAATGACATAAGAAATCAAGAAATTTTCTTCACAAATATTCCTTGTTCAAAGATTAACTACCTGCGACGATATTTGGATGACAATATCTTCCTGTTTAATATATATATTTTACCACTGTTTTACATTGTAGGTGCCGTATTCCTAATAGCAGGGACACTTCAGTTTATAATCCAGTTCATACTAGGACATATAACAAGAAAAGAATGTTGGTAGGCTGTGTTTTTGTATAGGACCCATAAACTCCGTATTGATGCTGAAGCAACCAATAACGTTATAGCTAGTGTGGTGATTTAATTTTCGCGAAGTGATAAGGTGACGATTCCTTGATACCTGTATTTTATATTTTTAGCAGAGGTGATGGTATCGTGGCTTGTAAACGTTACTAAATATATATTTATTAGAAAAAAGGTCATAGAAACGTTGAATGAGAGATGCTCCCTGGAAGCCATAAATGAATGTATGTGTTTTTTTACATTGCAGGTGGATATTTGCAGCAGTTGGCCTCCTCCTTAATGGGTTAGCTTACATATGGGTACGTGTATGTTTTTAGCGTGACACGCACACGCACGTGCAAGCACACTTATGCACCCACACTCGTGCACACGCGTAGCATATTTGATTGACAGATGGGTGATTGAACACAAAGCCGTATGTCTGAAGGTGTGTGTGTGTGCGCGAGTGTGTGTGCATTTGTTAGTGTGTTTGTGCGCCCGTGCGCGGGTGTATTTTTAATGCAATTTAAGATACCGGTATGAATACGAGGTTCATGAGTTGTTTTTTCCTTTTTTTTCCTTAGTACCCATTCACCTCCTCTGTATGGGTGAACATTGGCCCCCAGAGCTTGATATACATAGGGTTTGGGTTTGCCAACACTGTGATAGCTCCTATTATGGGCGACTTGGTGGAGATACGACACAGAGCCGAGTACGGGCAGGTGTACGGTCTAACCAGTGGTGCTTATTCCTTGGGTTTTATAACAGGTGAGTAAGTAGAATTTGTAACTGGCATCATTGATTCGAACGGTCTCCAGGTCGGCATAAAACCCACCAAATACACACACACATACACACACACACACACATACACACACACACACACATACACACACACACACACACACACAGTGCAAAGGGCCTATGTGTTAGTTTGTTCCGTTACAAAACCATGAAACTGGATTGTATTATATGTATTCCTTCATTCTTGTTTTATTAAGAAATGATAATCGGATTCATGTTTTTATTGATTGTTTCTTTCAGGCACTGTTGGTGCTGGCGTACTTGTGGACGTTACATCATTTAACTGGTAATGACAATTATCTGTATACACCTGTATGTATGTCAACATGGTGTTTTACAAATGCACGATAAATGCCCCCTGTCTGCAGTTACTTTACCACATAAACAGCAACAACATCATGGTCTTTTACTCTCTATACGTAGCTGTTTTGCTGCGGATTCCCCATTGTATGCGGGGCCAGGGATTAGTGAGTGTTCGGGTAGAGGTTCTCAAGTACTACCTGTGACGTCATGCACGACGACAGATGACGTCACTTAATTGCAGTTAGGCACAGATAACGCGGTTTGAAATCCAGTAGATCCTTAATAATTTCAATTTTGATCCAGCATGTTTAATAATAAAGAATAAAGGCCTAAGTTAATATTTTAAAAGTCCAATACATTTTTGTGAATCTGTTGCATTATAATGTAAGCTTGATTCATTTTCTCCATGTTTCACAGGGTGTGTCGCGGCATCGCGGTGTTAATGATCCTGTACACTTGTATCTGCATCCTATTTCGTAACCCTAAAGGCACCAATCTAGACACAGAGGTGAACACTTGATTTCAATCTTTACTGTTGAGAGTGTCACGCTTTTCATAGAGCGACATGTGACGTCATTACTCTTCAGTATAATTTGTTGTAACATATTGAATATTTGCTACTTTTTTCGACATACTCTATTGTTGTATAGTGTTGAGTACCGGCGAGCTGTTTGTTAATTTGGCTTTTCTTCGAAAAGGTGAAGCATCACGGGAAAACGATTTTAAATACACGCGTCTTTATCGTGTTAACCACGTGACCCATTTTGTACAAATATTTTTTATCTTTTGTAAAAATGATTACATGTATTATGATATAAATATGGGCTCTGGCATTATAGCAATAACTTGTGATTGGTTTATATTGCAGGACCCCGAAACCTTGAAGTTGGTGGGCAGTGAAAATACGGACAAATATGGCGCCCAAAAGTCACATGATATACCGATGTCTCATGAGTGAAGAACGGAAATAGGATTTTATTTTATTCATAAGGACGGAAGTCATACATTAACGTCTTCCAATTATATAACTTTATGAATTTGATGTGTTCCAATCATTTAAATCTAAACACATTTTTGATACTAGCATTGTTTCCACGTCCAAATATCAAGGAGGATCGCAGGCAAAGTGACGTTGGATCAACGTTGAAAACAGGTTGATACGTTGAATTGCCGTTGATCTACCTAAATATAACGTAAAATGTAAAATCAACGTTGATCCAGCCACATCAAACCACCGTCATAATGTGACGTTGACTCAACGTTGTATTTTGGTCATTGACTCAACGTTGTTGTTTGGTCGTCGTGATGCAAGACATGGATTGTAATTTAAAATATAAATTATTGAAAACGTGATACTTTGTTTATTAATACTGTAAATAACTTTATCAAAATAATAACAAAAGGGTTTTAAAGTAAAAGTGACAGTTGTTTTGTGTCTTTAGTGAACTAGTGATATCTCTTAACTTGTTATTCAGAAATACATTCCAATAAACTTCCTTGCAAGGTCAGCTAACACTAGGATGGATAAGTCTTTGTTATATATATATATATATATATATATATATATATATATATATATTGAATTATCCACATGGATATAAACGCTCAAATCTGTGCATAATAACACGGCTGTATACATTGGGCTAGCCATTTGTTTTCCTCCAGCCAACCCGAGCGGCCATTTGGAGACGTCACGTCAACTGTAAAAATATCACTCACGGTGCTTTAGAGTGCATTCCCATAGATTTAGATCGATCCATCTAGATCGACCTAACTGCCTTGGGGTTCACACTAATTTGCTGTCAGCCGACCGCGCACGGTAGGTAATTACCCCCTTACAGCTTTAAGTAGGCGGGACAGACATTTAAGCCGACTAAGCTGACAGTAATCTAGTGAGACTCCCCACAGGGATAGATCGATTTAAAATCTGTGGGAATGGGGTCTTAGACTTGTGATTACTGTTCTGCTCTGTCGGTTTTCTAATAGTGTTCTATGTGGTTGCCTATTGCCATTACTGGTCAAATGAGACATAGTACGGATGAAGAAAAACAAAATGTCTAACGAACTGCTAGACCCAGTAAGTGACGAAAGTGCTGCGCAGGAAGACCCCCAGCAACCGGGACTGTGGTACCGTTTTCGGCGTTCCAACACCCTGATAATCAGTGTAGTGTTTGTAGCGCTTGGACTTGAAGTAGCTCTTTCGACAACGCTAGGTAGGTGATTCTTCGTTTACATGTATTATACAAGTTGGCATTAGTCCGAACAAACGAGGTAGAGACATGAATTAAACAGTCTTAACACCCTTACGTTTCACTGGTGACAACAATTAAACCTGATTTGACTGAATTAATTACTGTTGAATAAATAGTAATAATAATATGATAAGTCGGGATTTCGCAACATTTTGAAGCGCAAAAGTTGCCCCTTGCCTGGTTAATTGAAATAAAAACATTCTTCTACATTTATGAATATCTGTTACGATTTCGCATTGCCTTGGCATTTCAGAACGAGCTCCCTTTGCCATACCTTTACCAGTTAGTTCATTTTTACTAAAGTGGATTTACAGCAATCGTTTGTCATTTTATGAAAGTAGTACAATGTCGCGCAAACTGCAGCAGTCCTTTTGTCTTTTTTTCATGTCACATTTAGACCAAAAAAAAAAGTAATAATAAAATAAAATAAATGTATGGAGTTCCTCCAATTTCAGGGCAATATGCGTGAAATGCCTTGCAATTAAGACTAAATTTAGATGCGTTTGGAGGAAATAAGGGCGTAGATAAAGTCAATTAATACTCAGCAATATCCTGTAATAATGTTCTGCACTGTAAGTTTCATATCTCACATTAGACTTATAAGGGCCCATCGATCACTGTAACGTGCTCACTCTCTTCCTTTCCCGACTTGAACTCTGTCCCCATTAATAAAATGAGCTAAACAGCATAGAGCAAACTAGTGCAGAACTTCAAATTATCCCCTGAGAAAGCCACGGGTTGAATTTTGCGAGATATTCACTGACATGACTTTGGCTGATTAATGACGTAATTTGTACTGTGAACAGCAGAGAAAATGAGCAGCATCTGTGAATATCCGCTGACAAATCTCTCTGTGGCCTTGATGGAGGGTAGATAAAAACCTTCGGTAGCGTAGGACCACTTTCGAATCTGGTATAGTGAACCGATGCAGCTAAACGTATCGCTCCTCGCGAATTTAGGACTTAAGCCAAAATGTGCCCGCTTTACTCGTATGTTATGAATTTGTAGAAATGCTACACAGGTCGGTTCTCTGTGAAACACTCGATCGTAGCCGGCTACAGGGTAGTCGGTTTGGTTAAATCTCTTACATGCACCTAAGCCTAATCAACTTAATGAAAAGGGGCTCCCATTTACAACCAGTAGATTAGTGTGCTAAAAGATCCAAGGATCAGATACGGCCGACCCACTTGAAAGCTTGTCGCATAGTCCCCTAATAGACCCTGAATAGATTCCCCGCCTGGATTACACGACAAGCTTTCAAGTGGGTCGGTCATATTTAATCCTTTGATCTGTTAGTCCGCGGATCAACTTTGGTTGTGAATGCGGCCAAACTGCATCCCTGTCTCTATATATCGCCATCTAGAGCCCATCTTACCCTGCCTGCTGCTGGAAGGGGACACTGGCCAGGACTGTCGTGCTGTCGACAGTGGTCAGGCCAACGTCACCCTGCCAACCATCAACTATGCCGGAGACGGAGGGATTATCATTGGGATTAAAAACGTGGTGGAAGTGTTCGCTAAACCGCTCTGCGGAATCGTCATTGACAGGTGAGCTTTTTTATTTCTTTTCGTTTCATTTATTTCTTATTATCCCTTAGTTTCATATCCTACATACTGGGGCTTTTTGCGAAAAAAAAACTTATGCACCTTGCTGTTGTTTGCAGATTTTGTTAAATTGTACAAGTAGTATTATATATCGACGGGTTATACATTGAATTCTATCTTAAAGGTACATACGATCCGAGCATCGGTGGAACGTGGATTCCCAGTAACACATGTAAACCACTTCAACTAGATTCTTATATGACTCAAATAAATTCGACATGCCAAGGGATAAACTGAATAGATCACTCGATCAGCCATAAAAGACCTTTAGACTGCTCCTTTCTTTAAATTTTTGGTTGTAAATTTAACCTAGTTTCGTGACCTACTTTCCTGCCCCATTGACATACAGCTTAGAATGCCAGCAGAAAAATCCGTTCAAACATCATTTTCGGGTAATATTAAACAATGCCTTTTGGTAATTCTCTTAGTTATACTACTTGAAACTATATGCTGGCATTTGGTTGGTTTTTGTGACAAAAAATTGACTT